CACACACACACACACACACACACACACACACACACACACACACACACACACACACACACACACAGTCACTTATTAAATGTGTTCTAAGTAATGCTCATTGTGTTGGATTGTCAATACAACCCTCTTGTCCCACTCTTTACACACTAATAGCAACACTGCAGATGAAATGCTAGCACAGGCTTCCAGTATCCGTTGTTTCAGGTGCTGCACATCCTGTATCTTCACAGCACACATGAACCCAAAGATAAAAGTCTAAGGGGGTCAGATCAGGAGACCTGGGGTCCATTCAACTGGCCCACGATGACCACTCCACTTTTCAGGAAACTGTTCATCTAGGAATGCTCGGACCTAACACCACTAATGTGGTGGTGTACCATCTTGCTGTAAAAACTCAGGGAATGTGCCACCTTCAGTGCATAAAGAGGGAAACACATCATCATGTAGCAATTTCACATATCCAGTGGTCTTGAGGTTTCCACTGATGAAGAATGGTCCCACAATCTTTGTACCCCATATACCACACCATACCATCAATTTGTGTTCCATCAGTCTTGGAGGGATCTGTCCGATGTGGATCAGTGTCAGACCAATAGCGGTGGTTTTGTTTGTTAACTTCACCATTCACATAAGTTTTTCTCATCACTGAACAAAATGTTTGGTGTAAACTGTCCTGTTCCAGTTTTTGTATTGCCCATTTTGAAAATTCAGTGCACTAATCTGGGTCACCCTCGTTGTGCAGCAGTTGGAGTTTGTAAGGGTGCCATTTGTGAGTAGTGAATATCTGCTAAAGGGATGTTTGACTGATGCCATGCTCTAACGTGGCGAGTGCTATGCTGTGAGATCTTGTTGAATTAAGTTAGGCCAGCCACTGATGTTTCATTAGTGACATTTTTTCATGGGTCCACATTTTGGCAAATCCAACACTGGACCAGCAGTTTGCTAACTGCAGCATGGGAGATGTGTGGTCTCGTAGGGTGTCTTGTGTTGAAATCTGCTGCAATGACCCGAGTACTGCGTTCACCAGACATCAGCACAATTTATATCTGCTCCTCACGTGTTAAACTCTTGGACATGTCAATGGCTGTAAACAAAGAGAAACTTGCAAATAACTCACAAAAGAATAAAGTTACAAAAAAGTAAAAAAAAAAATGGCTGATTTCAAAATGGCCACCCACCACCCATCTTGAAAAGTTTACCCCCTCCCAAATACTAACGTGCCACAATCAGGAATATCACCAACCATTTCCATTTTATTTAGGTGTATCCATATAAATGGCTAACACATTCTCACTCGTCAACATATTGACACTTTTCCAAAGTTCCCTCTGTGTCTTATTTTGACTCGTCAGGTGACCCCCCTCCTCAGTCCTTGCCGCCTGCGGCTTCTCTGAGTTGCGCCACCAGGGGTCTTTGGGTCGGGGGTCTGAGGTTAACATGAGGGATCAGGATAAATGGTTAAGTTTAGGTACTGGGGTCAGGGATAGGATGTCTTTGGTGAATATGTAATTTCAGGCTTTGGAACACATAATTTCCTACATTTTCTAAAAATGGTTAATTTTAGGTATTAGGGTCAGGGACAGGATGTCTAAAGTGAATAAAGGTAATTTTAGGCTTTGGGACGGTAGTTTTTGTGCATTTTCTACACTTTCTGAAATTATGACAACAGATTCCGCCCCATCTCGTTAAACTGACACAAGGGGAGTACCTGATGCGTCATCATCAGACGCAGAGGGAACTTTGGAAAAGTGTCAACATGTGACGACTCAGGAGTGAGAATGGGTTGAAATGGCCCACCCTATATATTTTCCATTGTTGATTGTCAAACTTTTATACATTCTCATTGCAATGTTGTGATAATTTTTGAGAAAAGCATTAAACCTGCTACAGGTAGTGCTGTGATTTTTGTGATTCTTACTGATACTCTTGAATACTTGTCGTTGTTTTACTGATCTGTCGTTTCTGTTCTTAGGCGGACTCCTTCCAAAGAACGTCTACACGAGTTGCCCGGAAGTACTGGTGGAAAAATGTTAAAATGATGATCATCATCGGTGTGGTTGTGCTGATCATTCTGATACTCATCATCCTCGCTGCCACGGGTGTTATATAAACTCTTATTCACAGGCTTTCAGATTGAAAGTAATGCAGTTAATTGCACTCAGGAAGTGACGTTTTACATTTTAAGAGCAAAATGTGCACAATCAAAGGGTAAATGATTATCAATGAGGTATCTCTGTGAAGACTAATGTGAAAACTTAGGAAGCAGATTAAATTAGGTTTGCTGACACACAACACTCCAAATTTATGTAAAACAACTATTAATGAAACACAAATCCATGTGAACTTTTTTTATTTGTTGCTTTTTCATTGTCTAGTACACCATGTACATATGTATGTTTATGACTGTCAAACTCTGTAGTAACACGTATATAACTGATGAACACAATAAAAGGCTTTAGCTGTATTATGGCTGCAGCGTCACTGTACATGTGAGTGATTTGTTCAGTCGATACTACAGTTATGGGATAAAGGAAGCAATTCACAAGCAGTATTTAAGAACTTTAAATACCAAAAACAGAGGAGAAACTGAAAACGCTAAGCCTCTGAAGCAATTTAAACAAATACAAAATACTGAAATACTTGTGTAAATACAGAGAAAATGTACTGTAGGTCTTTATGTGCTTTCAAAAAGCTAGCTCTATGATCTTTGCCCATCATCTCTCTGCCCAACGCTCCACCAGCGAACACCAACGTTATCACTCTGAAACCTGTGGGAAACAAACAAAAACAAGTCAGTTATACATGAACAACTGTCACGTTACAAAAACAACACAAATCCCCAGTGTTTAAGTTTCCTATGTAATAAAGACAATAAGAAAAAACAAACTGAGAGCAATTAATTTTACACTTGAGATTTTAACAAGATAGTTATACTAAGGATCCTGAAGTGCAATAAACTGAAGAAGTCATACCACTAAATGGAAAATAAAACTTTCATATTGATCAAGAAAACATATTGGAAAGCACTACATGCAGATTTTCCAAAGTCTGATGACACTTGATTATCGTTTTGTTTATAAATCAATGGTTGTAAGAAGAAAAAATGTGTTACAGAAAAATTAACAAAAGAGGAGTCTTTTCCATTGCTGTCAGTAACACAAAACAGAACAATACAATTACACAAATTAAAGCACTTTATCCCCCAACACAGTTGAGTCCAATACGAACCAGGTTTAAGCTCATGGACTACTAGCTAAACAAAGAAACAAGCATTTTTAAGATTAGGAATGAATATATTAACATTAGGAACTGGAAACTCCAGAGAAAGCTGTATGTATCCTTTGAAAAGCAAATAGTTAATTTTTCATTTTTATAATCATTACTTGTGGGGGAGTAAGGGCCTGTAAAAAAATGACAATTACATGTGTATATTTTAAGTTTTACATTACATAACAGTTGCAAAGAAATAAAAAATATGAAAAGAAAGATGACAAAGCTGCATGTGTCCCATATTGTTTAGTTTAGAAATGCTGATACAGGATGTTGTAAGACCATACCAAATGGCAGCATTCGAGAGCGTACGCTTCTCGTACCCGGTCCGCATTGAGCGGGCCCTGAGAGTATCTGGGAGTCAGCTCATGGCCTGCAAGGAAGCTCCGCTGGCAGGTACAAACAAGGTATGTCAGAGTTAGGAGACAACATATTTCCTTTTCTGTTTTCTCTGCACATCCTTAACTTTGGCATCCATTTACTGTAGTAGAACTTTACCTGTTAACTTTACACTTAAAAAAGACAAAAGAAAGTGCAAAAATGAAAAGCAGAGGGCCGGCTGTTAAATATAACCGCCACAAGAGCATAGCCGTTATGTTACAACTACTGTAAAGCACATGAGGGTGCTGAGAAAAAGAAGTTTACATGAAGGAATTATACAAAAAAAAGTTCAATACATTAAAAGTTAACGTAACTACTTATAGTTTAAAGTGAGAAGTATACTTTTATTACCTACCTACTTGTAGTTGAGGGTTAACTCCTTTAATATGGCTTGTAACTGTTGGTGTGACCACCACGCCTTGGTGATTTGCCATAACCCCCAGACTGATCAGCTAGTGTGAGACAAAATGATATTCAATCAGATTTATGTTTCAAAAGTAAAAGAAATGGATCCAAAGAAAATGAAGGTGCTTGGCTGGTACATACTGCTGTAGTCTGTATATCCATAATAATTGTTGTATCCAGAGTAATCATAGCCACCATATCCCCCGTATCCTTGATTACCGTAACCATAATTGCCATAATTTCCATAGCCTTGATTCCAGTAGTTACCATAACCCTGGTTCCAGTTTTGAGTGGGACCTGTGATTTAACAAAAATAAAAAAGATACATCACATAAAACTTACGGTGCCTTCAAATTTCAGATACTTTCCACTAAATTTGTTGTTCTCATATTTTCTAAGCAATCAAATTAACATTTAGACAAGATGTAAGAACTATTAAAGAGATCCATGATTAGTTGTAACATTAGACTTTATTTAATAAATGTATATTTTAACTGTAAAATAAAGACTGTAAAAATACTGTAGGATGTTCAGTTTTTATCATTTTTAAAATATATTTTAACACGGACAGAGCCAATTTATTTGCACACAAAGCATTCTGGGTAAATGATGACGTGGATAGGTCCTCGGTGCGAGGCTGCTAGCGAGCTATATCCACCCTGAAGGTTAATCTTGGACAATATCTGATGATCGACTCTTTTAAATGAAACCAGAGAGCGTTGACAGAGAGGAGAAGGTAGAAATGACTCAGCCTGGAACTGAAAATATGGATGGAGGACAACAGAGCTGCTTCATGGAAGAACATCAGATTAGCCTGTTAGCTTTAGCGCAGATGCTATATTGCCTTATTTGTATTAGCTCGGTGCTAGCATGACAAACAAGCTAACCTGTTGTCCTCCATCCATATTTTCAGTTACGTTCCCCTCTCTGTCATGTGGACGGAGGACCTCAGTGATGAGAGGAGAATGTGTAGCGCTGAGCTAATACATATATATGGTGATAGCATCGGGGCTAACGCTAAAGCTAACAGGCAAAGTGCAAGGAATGTGCGGCAGAGTATTTTCCACGCATGTGGTGCGACGAAAGCAGTCGACGCTCAAATTCAAAAATCTGAACTTTAGCCGGTTTCCCACCAAATGCATTTTGAGCAGCAAAGATGCTCCCAACGCCTCCAGTTGGACGCACTGAAACGAGTTCAGAGTGAACGCAGCAGCAGACCAGACGCACGTCTGAAGAGGGAGGAGCGTCGTGGTTTTATCCGGTCTGTCTTTAATGACGGGTGAAATAAAGATAAAATAAAGACAATGGCTTTTCTTTATTTACTAAAGAGCAAGCGAACGTTACGCACAGCAGATAATTAATTCACCAGATGATTTAGAGGCGGTTTGTTCAGTTAGTTTCACAAGGGAAATGGGCCTGATAACACGTTTTCACCAAACAACGGGCCAAGGAGTGTCCAGGACTAGAACTGTCGCCCACAAACTGATGCCCAGGTGGACTGGACCCCACCTGATAACAGTCTAAATCAACAAATGTCAGAAAGAACAAACATTAAAATGGGTCCACCAAAATCACCTGACGAGAAACAAAGCTTCACAAAGCAACTGTCTCGACTTCCTGTGGGAAGCAAGTTTTATTTGAAAGGGACCCAGTGAGCCTTGCCTCTTCGTTACGCTGACGTGGAGCTGCAGAGAAGTACCTGCCTGGAGGGTCGGAGCGAGTCAGGACTGAATGGTTCCTTGGCCGCACCACGACCTTCATGCTGCTTGGACCATGATGGTTTACCTGTCATCTTCAAGGTAAAAAACTGGCTTCATACCAGCATTCCTGCCTCTGGCTGACGGTGAGCGAGAGACACCTGGTCCCCTGGTTTTCCACGTTTTTTACTCCACTGTGTTTCCCCTGCTGGGGAAATTATTTCTCTGCATTTCACCTAGCACACATATGAACTATAGCAGGGTACCAAACCTGCCACTAACAATTATTTGAACAAATACAAGTCAGTCAACAGACCACTCAAACTTATCCACACAAAATAATATTTTTTAATATAAACAATAACAAAAACACAATTCAAGAAATAAAATTGTGGTCATAAAATAAATACATTCAAAATGTTCAAAGTAAATGTTTCAAATAAAAAAACCTGTAAAAATAAATTTGATAAAGTACAAATGAAAATCAAGGCTTTTTAAACTTTTACATGGTAGAACCAGAAGCTGCTCTTCATATTAGTGACAAACGCTGCCAGTTTTTGATGGGTTGCCTTCATTTTTGCCTTTTACTTTTCATTTAAAATCAATGTGGTCCCACGGCCCTCTGTGGCCCAAAGTTAAAAACTGTTGTTCTTTTGAGGCCCTCAAGGTGGCGCTCACGGCCCACAGGTTTTAGAATCTCTGATGTGGAGGAGTGGATCTGGTTTTGGAATCTTTGTTGGTATCTTTACACTTAGAAAAACTTACAGCAGGTTTTCTGTGATTTATACACTGTAATATTGTACAAACCCCCTCCTCCAAGAATTAGCATGTAGTCATTTTTCATTTCCATCAATATTTTTATTGAACATTTTCATATATTTGACGTAGACATTATATAACCAACATAATTAACAACAAGCACCCTCTTAGATACAATCTGCAAATATATAATTTAAATATAGAGGAAATAACAGTTCAGTGTAGAGACACTATTACCTGTTATCACCCTGGTCAGGTCGTTCCTGTCCTTAGCTGGCTTCTTCCTCTTCAGACAAGTCCACAGATATCCACAGGGGTCTCCATACACTTTCAAATAACTCACTTTTCCCTTATTGAAGAAATGTTAGTGTTCCAGGGATAAAGTCTTCAGCATTTGTCTGATCCGTTGCTTCAAACCTGGTCTGGTTGTTTTCTTCCAGAAAAGTGCAGTTAGTCTTTTAGCTTGTAGTAGACACAGATCAGTCAGTATCTGTGCACATTTAGTAAACAAAGTATTTTTGGGATACACATTAAAAAAACACAGATCTAGAGGAATGTCCTTTGAGACGAGATGTTCTGTAGTTTGTTTTATTTCTTTCCAAAATGTTTTAATTTCCATGCATTCCCAGATACAAATAGTGGGAAATAGTGTCCCTTTTTCTTCAAAGCATTTGTGTCTGGTATATTAGGATTATACTGATTTAAGCCTTTCTTCCTGCAGGATGGTGGCCAGGCCACTACGTCAGAGATTCTTAGAGCGCCCCCCCGAGGGCCTCAGAAGAACAACAGTTTTTAACTTTGGGCCGCAGAGGGCCGTGGGACCACATTGATTTTAAATAAGGTGTAATACACTTTCTCACCACTAGTAGCAGTAGTGCACCACTCAGATGTTTAACAACTTTTTAACATGTAGAAGAAGAACCTTAGAAAC